TGCTGCCCCACCGCCGCGAGGTTCTGCAGGATAAAACGGCGCAGAACAAACTCGGACATGCCCCCTCGCGAAGGTTCTTTTTTTTATTTTTGAGGGGGGGAGGGGGGGTATTTTTTTTGTATTTTTTGAAAATCTATTGAAAAGAAAGAATATCGGTTATGATTAGGGATAATAAGATGGTCGAGTAAGATTGTGAAGTCGCCTTGCTACAGCTATGGGTTCGGCTTTGGGGTTTCGTTCGGTATTTATTAGTGAAGCTCTTTGTGTGTGTGAGTGTGTGAAATGAGCCTGACTTTGGAGTTTGGAAGAGATAAGAGGACGCATATGTGAGAGGGGAAGAAGACCGTAGCAAATCAACAACAAACACCGCGATAAAATATACCCACTCCCACACACATTGGGTAATCACGTGATATTTTAACCTTTAGAAAACTTCTATATCATCTAAAAGAGGTCAATAGAGAAATGGCACGCAAAAAAAGGATCCTATGAAGCCTAGCACATGACGATAAATGTTGTAGCTAAAATGTGTTTCCAGAAAGATGAGTCAAATTTCATATATCTAAAAAAAAATGCGATCCTTCTAAAAACTTTCATTCGTTTTGTTGTGGTGTGGAGTTCACAAAATCGTGCATTGATGTCCTTAATCCATTTTTCCTCATTCTTTTCTATATTTATTTCCAGATGAAAGACGTTGATACGATACCCCTTGCCCAGTCAAACCTGCGCGTCGATCATGTGTTGGAGGGCCAAATCAAGCTCATTGTGAAATCCGTTGAGGTGAAAAGGGCGAAAGGGGAGAAAATCGCGCTCAGCCTTGCGGAGATGCAGGATTTTACGCCGCACCGCGTCCTCCGCGACCCCGCGCGCGGAGGACGCGCCCTGGCGAGGCGAACCCAACGAGAACGACGACATCGAAGAATACAAAGCCGCATTGGGGGGTGTAGGGCGCCGATTTTTACTATTGGGAAGGTCTTTATGGCCGCCATAAAGAGCCTGGACGTCGTGGTAAGAGTGCCGTAGCGTCGTCTCCGACACCGTCGCGGCGCGATAGCAGGGAAGATCCTCGTCCGCCGGGTAATCAAAGATTTCGCGCGGGCCGGCCCCTTTCATCGCAATTCGGTCTTTTTTAGACGAAGGCGGCGGATTCCCCCTCGCCGTGTGGGGGGGGTTGCGGTCGTTCGCCCCGGCGGCCCCCACCCATCGCGCGCCCTCCCAACGCCCCGCGCGCGAGAAATCCCCGGCGTAGTCGCGCAGGTCAAACATGCGGTACCGCCAACTCCCCAACCCCTCCGCGCTCGGCAATTCCTCGCCGTCGACCTCGCGGCCTTTTAACAAAACAACCGCGAAATCGCCAAAGTCGGCCGACGACGGCGGGTGAAGTTTGCCTTCGCCGGGGATGATGATCATCGAAGGGGCCGTCGGCCTGGGGGGTCGGCCTCGGCGGGCCCGGCGCCGCCTTTCGCGGAAGGAATTCGCCGCGTCGGGGAGGCCCAATCGCCACATCAGCCCCGCGGGGGAGTTCTCCCCCCCTGCCGTCGAGGGGATGGCGGGGGGGCCGTCGGGGAGAAGTGGGGGAAGGACGTGGACGACCTCCTCGCGGCCAAACCCGCGAACCCGGCGTCGGTCCGCGAGGACGGCGCGCACCACGACGGAGACCTCCCCCGCGGCGTCGAAGACGACGTCGTTCGCCCCTTCCGCGGACCTCGCAAAGGAGGAAAAAACAGGCGAGTCGCGCGATCCAGCCCATCGTTTGGCGGTTTCCTCCGCCCGATCGCCCGCGGGGCCCCTCGAACGCGGGGAAAGGCGATGCCCCCGGCGGTACGTCGCCTTTGCGGCGTGCGCCTTTCCATTTACCATCAGGGGGTCCTCGCAGAGCCCTTTGCGTTTGATTTTTCCGTCATAAAAGGGATCGGCGCCCTCTTCGAAATCGAAAAACGTGGGGGAATACGACGTGCGCGTGGTCTTGGGCGGAAGCATCTGGGAAATGGCCGTGGGAAAGGCCGCATTGCCCGTCAAGGAGGACAAACTCGTTTCCTTTCGTTTGCTGGCGAGTTCCCGTTCGGGGTTGGCCTTGGGCGATTGCTCCAGGCTTGCCTTGCCGATATTCGATAACGTGCGGGAGAGCTGGCCGAGGAGGGAGTGCTCCCCCATAGGGACGCCCTCATCGCGGGTGTAGACCTCCCCCGCGGAGGAATAGCGCGGCAAGCCGCTTTTCGCCCTTTTTCGTCTCCTGTCCTCCCGCTCCCCCGGGAGGGATCGCGGGGGATTGAGAAAGACCAGCTCCAGGCAGTCCTCCTTCCCCACCACGTCGCCTTCGCAGGGCAGGGGGGTGATGCGGAGCAACCTCGGCAGCCCGCCAAGGGCGCGAAGGTAAAGCAATATCGCGAGCAGCGTCCTCGCCGCGTGGGAAAGCGTCACCCCCGCCTCGCGCCGCGGCGAGGCGGGTTTTAAAATCAACGTCGCCGCCCGTTCGGGGTTGTTTGGGTCCGCTTCGCCGACCCCCTCGCCCGGCGAGCCCGGGGCGTCGTGGGCGAGCGGCTCACACGCAAGCAGGGCGCGCGAGTCGTGCAGAATAACGGACCGCGCCGTGCGCGAATCGTCATCGTCGTGGAATGATGCCCAATCCCGCGGGGTTGACGATGGCGCGTCCCCACCCGGCGAGTCCTGAAGACCTACGCGATAATCCCCCTCCCCCGCGAGGGTTTCCCCGTGTCTTTCCTTCCCTCGTTTGGTCCTGGAAGGGGGTAGACGGGAGGAGACCCCATCCCCGCCGAACTCGCGAATCGGACGTGGCTCATTCGCAACGGTATTTTCTCTTTTATTGGGTGGGGATTTTTTGCCGTTTGCGGATAATAAAGTCGCTCCAGGGGCTACCGTAGAACCCCCTCCCACCTCGCATTTTGGCGCGTCTGAATTCGGTTTTGCATCGCGTTCGTCGGGGGAAAACTCGCGAATCGGACGGCGGTTCTGCACGTCGGTCGCCATTTGGGCGTACTTCACGGCGGAAAAGACCTCCCCAGGGCGGCGAATCAACTCATTCTGCAGTTTAGGATTCAACGGCCCGAGCATCTTCACACTCGTCGTCGATTCGGACGGGGAGGAAAGCAAACAGGAAGATACTTTTTCCCTTTTTTCGTCCCTTTCCTCTTCACTTTTGGGGTCCGAAAGCGGGCTTCGCTTCCCGAAAGCGTTGGGGTTAAAAGAGGCACTGGACGCGCGTGATGACCTCGCGCGGCGTGCGGAGTTTCGGGAAAGGTATGGATGCGGGGTGCAGTATTCGTAATCATATCGCGGACGACAAACCGAGTACACGCGGTTATTTCTACAACTATTTACCCCAGCTTTGGAAGTTCTTTGGTTTCTTTCAGGGTGCGATTCAGAATTTCTTGGGATCATGATGGCTTTGGCATCCAAAAAGAACTGTCCATGCATGGTGGGAGGATTGGACCCCACCGAAAGCTCAAGTTTAGCACGCGAAGACGTCGATAATGATTTGTTTTCATCATACCCTTGATGAGTTGTGATTTTTGAGGGTTTCTTGTTTTTAGCGTGAGGAGCTGAGGGAGGGCGAACAAATTGCCCCTTCGGATGCTTTTCTAGCACCGTGAAATCCATGAATGTTGAATTTTTACTATCTTTATTCTCACCGTTTTCTTCTCTAGTGAAAGGCGCCTCGTATTCATGCACAGCGCCGGGTTGAAAAGAGCCAAAGGCGCGCGGCGATGCCTTGACATCTCGCAGAGATTCATTGGCCTCTTTTTCAGCGGGTTTGGGTTTTGAAGCGGCCCCCTTTTTCATCTTTGGTTCGCTTACGTGTGCTATGGAAACCCCATTGACATGCAGGTGAAGAGCAGGGATAGCTTGTTCTTTTTTTTTGATGTGGATAGCTGCCCCTGATGCGCGGGGTTTGGAGTGGACTGTTTTTTTTTTATCTAAACAATTCATTTCAACTGGATACTCACCCCCAAAAGACGAAAAACAATTTGAAAAATAAATATTTAATAACTTGAAATGATTTTTAAGCAGCTCTGTTTGATATATTTTCCCTAGGGTATAAGTAAATAAACATGAAAACTAAGATAAAGTAAGTATCGGGAAAAATTAAAACAAAGTAGCAGGGGCAGCTTCATTTATTAGTTTCATGAAAGGATATCAGGCAGTTATGTAGGTTTATTATTTTTCATTAACGATTGTTTCTTATGATTATTTGAGTATTCAGGTGCAGATACCTTGAAAAGCATTTCAAGGGTTTGTATTAATAGTTATCATTAAACGTATAAATCGACAAACATATCAATGAAGATTGCAGGCGAATAAAGTGTGCGCATACACACACACACAGCCTACCTCTTTTGTCGCTTTAGCCTTTCTTCTAGGGTCAATCGCTCCGCGCGAAGTTTCTTTCGGGCTATGTGTATCTTCTTATCATCTCGCATAAAAATATCCGCGTGATCTTTGGAAACTTCGTACATTGCCACCTCTTTTTTCCCACCTACAGAAGAAGGCAAGGCAGCTTCCACATAATCGCCATTGGCACTATGTTTATCCGCTCGCCCCTTTTCATTTTCTCGCTGTTGCCGCCTCCGCATGATTTTACCGCTGGATTTGACCCCACGCAGGTGTTTTCTAGCATCCACATCCTCTTCTTCTTCACTATTATGTTCGTCATCGTCGTTCTTATCCTCGGGAACGACCGAAAAAAGTTCAGAATCGTACTTTTGTCTGCGCTCATTCGCTGACGCGCGGCGCTCCTCAATTGTCTGGAGGAGTTTTGCGTAGTCAGGGTTCGAGCGGTCTAAGGCAAAGTTCGCGGAGGTTGCTTTCCCTGTGATCGGATCAAAAGCCTTCGCAAAGCGCGGATCCGCCTTCGCGGTGGCGAGCGCAGATTTTACCACATCCGTTTTGCTATTGAATTCACCTTCGTTTTCCCCGCCTTCTGTGGGGCGTTTGAAGCGGCTAATCCGATTTGCCCACTTCTCCTGCTTTCGCTGAGCGGCGTTCTCGGCGACATATCGATTAAACCCTGCGGGATCGACCACCGCTCGGAGCTCGCGGTAAAGCCCATTTTCAATGAAAGCGCCGTGCATAACCGGACGGACCTTTCCATCCGCCATCTCCTGCGCGCTGATCCCGAGCGCCGCTATCTCCTCCTGTGAGATGAAGGTGAAGTCATCGTAGACGGTCGTGGTCTCCTTCTCCTCGAGGTCCTCAACGAAGGAATCGAGAAAAGACGCCCACCGTGGCGCCGCGCCGAGCTGCGGGATAAAAAACACCTGCACTCTCGGTGTATCGCAGGCAATCGTGATCACCCCGCTATCCGCACACTCATAAGGTTCCACCAGGTTCGACTGGCCTCTCAAGATGCAGAAGTCGTAAATCTCGGCCGGGGCCTCGATGCTCGTGAAAGCCCGCCCGTCCTCCTTCTCCCACACCTTCAGCGAGCGGGTATCGGCGGAGAGGAGGTGGCTTGCACGCCCGGTCGTGGTGCTCTTACCCTGGAAGAAGTACGTCTTGACGATCGGCAGCCCGTTCCGGTGTTCCATCCCCCAAAGCGGCTTCGCCAGGCGGATGTCGTAGAGCAGGACGCCACCGTTCTCGAGGCCGCAGGCCATCTGCAGGCCGTGCCCCCCGCACCCCGCGTCGTCGAGGGCGATGTGCCGCACCTCGCAGACCTCGCCGAAGCCGGAAGGGGCCCCGGGGCCGGCGGCGACGACCCGCGTCACCGGCGCCCCCCCCGCACGGTTGTCCCAGCCCCAGACGACCCCGTCCGTGCCCGCGCCCAC